TTGCGCAAGACCACCGAAACCCGGAACAGCAGCGTTCCATCATGCATGTGGACGCCGGCACCCAGATTTCTGGTTGCGGGCATGGGCCCAACAAGCAGCTGGCTGTGGTGCATGCGTGCAACTGAAACCCGTTTGAGTGCCGGCGTGCACATGCGTGCTGGAACACTGCTCTTCTGGTTTCGGTGATCCCGTGTGTATGAAGGCCAGCTGGCCGGCACGTCTGTGTGCACAGGAACACGGAAAAGGAGCCAGTGAGGTCACGCGTCCTGCACGGGATGGCTCTGCATGCCATTTCCTGCACACGTACCATAGGTTCACCACCACTGGCATATATTGTGGCATATGGTTTACTGCATTCCCTTTTGGCAGTTGTGTCCAGGGCATAGACAGTATGCATTTATTGAAGTCTGGTTCTCAATTTTTCTGCCCAAAATGATTTTCATTGCTTTATGATATTTACATTAATTTCGAATTAAGCTGAATTGGTAGCTCATATGCATTCATGTATTTTCTGCATGCTTTTTAAAACATTTTTATGGCAAAGTTCAAAAAAATGCATCACTTTTAAAAGAATATTGTGTTCCAGCCTTTTTATTTTCCTTTAGCTATTTGTTTGTTAAAGTTAGGTTAAATATTAAAGGAAGCATAACTTGAATCCTGTGAGGTAGTTTGGGCTGAAAGATAGTGACTTTCCTAAAGTCACTCAGACAATTTATATGACTGAGGGTAGGCTTAAGCACAGATCTCCCCATTTCCACAGACAGAATAGTACTTATTTTTTTCCAAATAGCATTTTCCCCACAAAATAAATGCTGTATCTTGTTCTGGATTCTGTTCTTTTCAAGCAATATTATTGGAGCTTGCTGCCAGAAATGGGTAGTCTTTTTGCAAACTTATTTGAAGGAATGACAAACCTCTCTGTTATAGTGGAACAGGTTTCATAGGTATCATAGAATTGGTGGCTTACTTCTTTGTACTTAACTACAAAGTTCACTTGGGACTTTGGCATAGAACTGATCCTAGGCACATCACTACCCTTCCTTATGTGACAGCCAGTTTACAAGACCATATTCACAGTTTACAAAAACATGTTCATACCCCCTGCTTGGAACTTCTAGTTTTACTGTATGTGCATTTACTGCTACATTGAAAGCATAGTTAGCCATAGTTAAGGGAAACCCAAGTTCTGGGTTAACCGGTCTTTAAAATGAACTTGCTTTAGCTCATCTTCCTCCATCTCATCCTCAGAGTCTCATCTCTTGATGACTCAGCTGAACCCGCAACTCTTTCCATTTAAAAAGGAAAAACTAAACCATTGGCTAAATGATTATAGGTTTTTATTGGACTTTTTATCCATGCCAAAAGTCAATAAAAGTGTACTGAATCAAGTAGCTATAAATGTCCAATGTTTTTAGTTTGTACTATTATGAATGACTTCATTTTTTTACTCTCATCTCCAGATTATTCTAAAGGTTTTGGTGGTAAATATGGTGTGGACAAAGAGAAAGTGGATAAAAGTGCTGTTGGCTTTGAATACCAGGGCAAAACTGAAAAACATGAATCACAGAAAGGTTTTTACTTTATTTTACTCCACAAAATTGTTTATGAGTTGACCTTCTTTAAACCTGAAATTGTAATCTATATGCATGAACCAAGGCTTTCAAGTCTTAAACCTACAAACTATTTTATGAAAATCCTTTCCTTCCTTTTTTATGTCGTAAAAATATATTTAAGAGATTGTTTGTTACTATAATCTGATTCTCCATTAAAAAAAAAATCTTCAAAATGACTTGGAACAATAAAATCTAGTCAGTTTCTTCAATAGGGCTTGTAGGATAATAAAAATAAGGCAGAACTTTTCAGCTAACAGAACTTTTCAGCTAACTTTATGATGGATCAGAGCCTTCATTTATTATGCATAGTTCAGACTGATATTTTACTATCTAGAAGAAAAAGTGAGACTATATATTTCATAATTTGATGTAGCAAATTACCTGCTGGTTTTTGACATCCAGCATAAACAACAGCCACTAACAAGTTTGGCTGCTATGATTTACAAGAATATGCTTTTTATGGATTATTGATTTAAATTAAACAATTAACTGCATTTAGACATCCTACTAACCCAGAGCTTGTTAAATAAGCCAGAGTCAGTCTTGCAAAGTCACCATGGTTTGTTTAGATAATTCTTGGGTTGTTGTTTTTTTAGTCTCTCTCCCTTTTTATTTGTATCTGCCTTGAACTTCTGTAATTAGACAGATTTGCACAGGACACAAAAATCCAGCTGAGCCAGGAAATCACAAGCAAACCAAGTGCCTGGCTTGCATATTAGGTTCAATTTTGATTCAAATTATTAGGCTATTAATGGACTGTAGTTTCAGGTTATAGTTTTCTTTCTAAAACACCCAATGGTTTATTCATTGATTCCATTCACTCATCCTGTTCATGCCAAGCTACTTTACATATGGCTTAGCTTTATATGTAAACCAAACAATTACTTAGTAAATACGCTTTAATTATACTTTTGAATATGTGGTCTTTTGTTATTTTACATTGTGCACCATTGTTTGCTTGGAAAACAAAAGAGGGTTGATTATATGATCTAATTACTCATAAGCCTTTCAAAGGCAACATTGTAGACTGAAATTGCAAAATTGCTAGGTGAGCACATGAATGCTTAGGATTACAACCTTGGCATAGTTTTTTAGTATTTTCTTAGTTCCTCTCTTGTTTCTAAATGTTATCCATATATCTTTTTATTTATTTATTTGAGTTTTGTCCCACCTTTATTACTTTACTCAAGGTGGCAAACATATATAATACTCCTTCCCACTCCTGTTTTCCCCACCACAACAACAATCTTGTGAGGTGGGTTGGGCTGGTCAGTTAGTGACTGGTCCAAAGGTTTTGGATTTCTTGCTATTTTCTTTTGGGTTAAAAAACAACAACAAAACACTTAAAATGACTTCTTAGACAACAGTCAGATCCAAATAACATCTTGTAATGTTTCCTTTACACAGACTATACGAAAGGTTTCGGTGGAAAGTTTGGCATACAGACTGACAGACAGGATAAATGTGCACTTGGCTGGGATCACCAGGAAAAAGTACAGTTGCACGAATCTCAAAAAGGTACATTTATTGATAAGCTTTGCATGCACTGTTGGGCATAACATTTGAAAGTGAAAAATAGAGATAGGTAAATAAATATGGCTAATTGCTACTGCATGCAATTGCTTTTGTTCATAGCTGCTAACTTTAGTTTTCCTGGAATTCTAGAGTGGGCAGGGGTGGGGAGATGGGTTGTAATCAGAAAGGGGAAATTTAATCTTAATTTGTTAAAACAGGAGAGGAGAGCTATTGAGTTGTTGAATTATCCCTCCCAACCTTTATTTAAAGATATGAAAATAGGGCTTCCCTACTCATTTGGCAGTGAGTGGGTCAGTGGCTAAGACACTGAGCTTGTCAATCAGAAAGGTCAGCAGTTCGGCGGTTTGAATTCCTAGAGCCGTGTAACAGAGTGAGCTGCCATTACTTGTCCCAACTTCTGCTAACCTAGCAGTTTGAAAGCATGTAAAAATTCAAGTGGCAAAATAGGAACCACCTTTGGTGGGAAGGTAACAGGGTTCTGTGTGCCTTCGGCGTTTAGTCATGCTGGCCACATGACCATGAAGACATCTTCGGACAACACTGGCTCTTTAGCTTTGAAACGGAGATGAGCACCGCCCCCTAGAGTTGGAAACAACTAGCACATATGTGCAAGAAGGACCTTTACCTTTACCTTACTCATTTGGCAATTCAGTAGTATCTAAAAAAGGCTAAAGCAGTAGGAACTGAGTGAGTCTATTTTACACAAAATGCACCTTGTTCATGAGCAGCTGTTTACAGGTATGTTGAAAGTTATAATGGTCCTGAAAAATGTGATTTAATTATTGTTCCTTGCACTTACAATTACCACAGTATCCCTGTGGTCGCATGATTCAAATTCAGGTATTCGGCAACCAATATGTATTTACATCTTGAGGTCATGTGATCCCCACTTGCAGCGTTCCTAGCTGGCTTCAGACAAGCAAAACCTATGGCGGAAGCTGCATTCACTTAATGACCACAGGGGCTCACTTAACAATCACAGCAGAAAGGCCATACATTAGGTGCAACTCACTTAATGACCGCCCCACTTAGTGACATAATTTCTAGTACCAATTATGTTTGTAAGTACCTAATACAGTGCAGACAGTTTAATCTGGCAGGGATTGTGTGTATTTTATATTTGCACTGAATCATGATTAAAAGTGAGTAGTCTGAAATAAGAAACTATAATTTGTTAGTGTATCTGACATACTACATTGGTTAAACGTGTGTTTGTGTCTGTGTGTTATATTCCACACCTGAATATAAATGCAAAATTTACATTCAGGTTCGTAATGGTTGTATATTGGGTGGGAAAGTAACCATTTTGTGTCTGACTGCATGCTTCTTAACGTTTTGAACGGAACTGTTGAACTTCAGATGATGGTAAAGTGGGGTGGGGAGTAATTGCATGTCTGATACATCCCTCTTTCAAAATGTGCCTCTGGAAAATGAGCATATGAGAGAAACCCCATCTCCTGCTATGTTGGATGTGTGAGTGTTATATGTATACTCAATAGCAAGAAACACTTCAATTTGGAATTACTGTAAGCTTCAGCATGAAACTATAGTCTAAAAAAAATTTAAGCTGTTTCTCAAAATTTAACATCTCTTTTTAGACAAAACCTTCCCCTACCCGTTTCCACAACTGTTTTTAACAAGCTTTTTAGCTCATGTATGTTGCGTCTAAACACGTTCCTCTTTTCCCCATCCCCTTCCTTCCCTTGGTGTCCCCCCTCCCCCTTGTCCTTATATTCTGAATTTCTCAGATTATAAGAGTGGTTTCGGAGGGAAATTTGGTGTTCAAACCGAAAGGCAGGACCCATCAGCTCTGGGCTTTGACTACAAGGAGAAACTAGCGAAGCACGAGTCGCAACAAGGCAGAGTTTCCGCTTCTAACTCTTGAACCCAGTGCCATCATTTCTAATCCAGACCTAAGCTGCTCATTGCAAAGTCCCATACAATGCATGGCAACTTTAATTTCTTCTTCATTTGCATATACATCAGGGAAATAATTAAGTGACCTTCAGTTACTTTAATAATCCTGTACATCCTGAATGATAGCGCATCACCCCATCTGCTTGGTGTACATTCCAGCAAACTTTGGGGTGCTCAACACAGCCCTTCCTTCCTTTCCATAAACCTTTGGCTCCTATATCTTTAGTACACAAGTCCAGATTTATTTACTAATTACAGGAAATTATTATAAAAATGGTTTCAAAAAGAAAGTACAAAATCTCTTTGCCAAAGTTAGTCCTGAAGTTGATGATATAGCTATATATTATATGATAATGATTGTAGAATGATTGTAACTTTTTTCCATTAGAAATATACCTGAGCTGGCAGCTAGATAAGAACTTTCTATTTGAGTAATAACTTGCTTCATGCAGTGTGTTCGTTAACATGAGCGCATCTGGAATTATTATATCATTAACATTTTAGGTAAATAAACTTAATTCCAGTTTTTCATGTTTCTCTCACAAAAACGTGTATTTATGTAATATATATATATGTGCATTGCGTCTGTTTGTAAAATAAGTCAAAGTAAGCAGGAGATTTAAAAAAAACCTTTAATACTTGATTCATCCTTGTGCTTTTTAACATGTTTGTCCAGCATTTAAATGTATTCTTGTTGGCAATCTTTAAAAACATAACATGGCCATTGTTTTTAAATCTTTAAGGCAGTCACAATTCTTGTTTTTTTTAAGTAAACAGCAC